CTTTAAAAGCCGGCGCTGGTATCCACTAAAGCAAAATAAAGTTACGTGCCACTTAATGGTGTTTCAGTCAGCCATGGACTGCATATATGACATTAGTTCCAATAGGCTTTACCATGTAGTCATACAGCCTAGGTGTATAACAGGCTATACTGTCTAGGTTTGTCACTTTCAACGACAGTGATGTCACCTATCCTTAAAAAGTTAGGTGTCTTAGAGGAAAATTATTTAATAATTAACAGATAGGACAGAGATTTGGCAAAATTGTGAAAGTGCATGCAAAAGACCAAAGTGTAGGAAATTCTGACAGAGAAAAGATGTTCATACACCAGTGGAAGTGCCTAATGACATAATTTTCAGAATGTATCCTTATTTTAAATGGCACATGAAAGTATATGCCTACTCTATGATGCCATAATCATTCCACTTTAGAGTATATACTCTCAGAGATGCAGAAACACATCCTCAAAAGAAACACAGTCTTCATAGCAGCTTTGTTCATAGTAGCTCCAAAAGCAAATTAATACAAATACCCATCGACAGAATAATGATCAAATCAATTGTAGAATACTATACAGCAAAGAGAAAAGGTAAACTGCTACTACTGTTAGGGGGAAAAGGATGTCCCAAAGCAAATTCCATATAGGCTTTGTGGACTCCACCCCCACCCCAGGTCAAAGCCAAAGACATTGGGAACTCCAAATCCCATCACCACCAAAGGGAAGGTGGCTGGGACCTGAGGGTGGGGTTAAGCAGCCAGGTGGATACAAAAGGCAGACACGTGGGCTTTGGGGGGCTCCCCCATTTTGGCTCTCCACCAGCTAGCAGTGTCCGGCCAGCTCTGAGAGTGACTTTGGGTTTCCAGGTCGTCGGATCGGGTAGGACGCATTAAAGACTTTATTTCCCTATTTTCTCCCTGAGTTGTGCATTTTCCTTATTTCCTTTTCTCTTGTAAATAAACCTTTTATTAACCCTTTGGCGTGTGTCTGTAGTAGAGTATTCATAAGTCCCTTTAAAGCGCGCGGGTGAGGACCCACAGCCAGGAACCCGTTTAATATCGGGGCTGCTCTATAACACTACTACATGCAAAAAAATAATAATAATCTCACACACATGTTAAGGAAAATAAGCCAGACATCAAAAACTACGTACTATGTGATTTTATTTATATAAAGCTCAAAAATAAGCAAATTAATATTTGGTAAAGGAAATCAGAATAGAGTGGTACTAATGATTGAGAAGTCAGGGAAGTTTTCAGAAGTACTGAACGTTTCAGAAGGTCATGTTTTCCAACTTGATCTAGGTGGTGGTTACATAAGCGTTTCACTTACAAACATCTGCTGAGTTGCACACATAAGATTTTTGCACTTTACAGGTGTGTTATATAATTAAATATGAAATTTAATAAATAAATGTTTTTAAGAATCAGCATAGTGCTGGGTGAAGAGAGTGAGGAACAGAATGACATCTATAAACAAAACTGTTTAATAATTTATAAGTACATGTACACTGGAAAACACCACACATTTTGCAAGAACACAAAAGATATACATTAAGTGCATTAGAATGATTGTCTATGGGCTAGGGAATGAGAGTGAGGAGTAGCAATAAAAGGGAACACATAAATAATAAAATAAGATCAGGGCCTTGCTAGGACCAGAGGGGATCATGAACCATCTAAGAGAGAAAAAAGGAAAGGAGGAGAAGGAAGAGAAAGGGGAAGGAGAGAGGAGGAGGGTGGGGAGGAGGAAGAATTACACTTTGGGAAATCCTGACAATACTTTAAGTTTTCCAGTCCTGGCCAGGGAATCCATCTGGAAACCCAAGTGCTATGTAGTGTGCTTCACACACAGGCTACCCTATTCATGGCTCTGGAAACGCAGACATTGTTTACAGAGGAGGTAGAGCTGCTCCTGAAGTACTGACACCTTACTAGGGTCTGTAGCTGGGAGGTTGGCAGCTGAGCCCACTGAAGCTCCAAGTAGAAGGGAAATTTCAGCTGCCAGTTTACAGGTGACCTGGAATTTCTTGGGAGCTGGGATATGATCACAGAGGCAGAGAAGAGCCCTGTATTGTGGAGTCACAGAAATGGCCCCAAGGAGAAGGGAGTCTCAAAGGCAGACCTCAGCACTTGGCCTTCACCAGCTTTGCCATATATTGTAGAAGTACCACCTGTGCTTTTACTTACTAAATACTTTGAATTGACTCACTCTTTTTTTTACTGAAATATTTTTTTATTAATTTTTTTTAAACATTTGTGCTTTATTTATTTATTTATTTTAATTTATACAAGCACTGGGTACAGTCAGAGCGCTGGAGGGTGAGAGAATTCGCCAGAGCCAGAGCGGGGAGCAGAACAGGCAGAAGGACCGAAGTACACTGCTGAGGGGAGCAGCGGGCGGCAGGAGAGGTCTGTGCGCCATGCGGGACCCTCCTCTGGTGGCCGGGGGAGCAGCCAGGGATCGAACCGGCGCTGCAGAGGCTGCGGGCAGCTTCGCAACCCAGCGCTCAACCGCTGCGCCACCGGGGAGGCCCTTTACTGAAATATTTTTAAGGGTAGTTTGTCCAAAGTGTTGGAATGAACATGAGGAAACTAGAAACTTGGAGCACTGTTGGGGGGAATGTAGAACGGTGCAGCCACTATGGAAATCTGTACGGTGATTGCTCAAAAATTTAAATACAGAATTATCATATCACCCAACTATCTGACTTCTGGATATTTGTACAAAAGACTTGAAGTCAGGATCTCAAAGAGATAGTTTTACACTCATGTTCACTGCATTATTGGCCATAGTCTAAAGGCAAAAGCAGCCGAAGCACTCATCAATGAATGGATAAGCAAAATGGGGCCTCTGCAAGCAATGGGATGTAATCTGCCCTTAAAAAAGAAAAAATTCTGACATAAGCTAAAATTTGGATGAAACTGGAGGACGTTGTGCTAAATGAAATGTCAATCACAAAAAAACACACCGCATGATTTCACTCACATGAGGCACCTAGAGTAGTGAAATTCACAGAAACAGAAAATAGTATGGAAATTACCAGGAGAGAGAAGGGGAGGTGCTCTTTAATAGGTACACAGTGTCAGTTTTACAAGGTGAAAAGAAGTCTGGAGATGGTGGTAGTAATGGATATACAACAGTGTGAGTGTACTTGATGCCACTGACCTGTACACTTTAAAATGGTACAGATGGTAAATTTTACATGTGTATTTACAATTTTTTTTTAAGATTTATTTATTTTTATTTTTTTTATAGAGGCATGCTTTATTTATTTGTTTGTTTGTTTGTTTTATACAAGCACTGGGTACAGTCAGAAGCACGGGAGGGTGAGAGAATTCACCAGAGCCAGAGCGGGGAGCAGAACAGGCAGAAGGACCGAAGTACACTGCTGAGGGGAGCAGCGGGCGGCAGGAGAGGTCTGCGCGCCATGTGGGACCCTCCTCCGGTGGCCGGGGAGCAGCCGGGGATCGAACCGGCTCCTTGGGCGCGGGCAGCTTCGCAACCCAGCGCTCAACCGCTGCGCCACTGGGGAGGCCCTGTATTTACAATTTTTAAAAGGCAGTTTTATATCAGAACTATAAAGTTAAAAATCTCTTGTCCTAAAGGAAAAGTTTCCATAAAATTAAAGACAATTACACTTATACTCCCAAATACAGGGTGGTGTTAACATTGTCCTAGAGCCACTCTTTGAAAGACTTCTGTGAAGGGTAAGGGAGTAGGGACAAGCGTGGCTCAGGCTGGGCCAGGCAGGGAGTGCCAGTTGAGAGGAGCAGGGTGAGGAGACCCCCCTCCAACCTGCCTAGGGGTCTCCAGGCCAGGAATTGTAGGTATCAGGATTCTGAATGTCGGGACCTTGGTCCCAGGGACTTCTTGCCCTATGTATGAGGAGGGGTCCAGCTGGTGGAGGGCCACAGCTGACCTCTTTGAGTAGTGGTACAGGAGGGGGTTTTGGTGTAGGGCCTAAACCTCTTGAAGCTAAGTAAATACAGTCCAGGCCCAAAGGGCCAGGATATGGACTAGATAGAAGGTGGTAGTGGGGGTGAAGGGGAGGAATTGGAGGTACAAATTATAAAGGATGTTGCTAAGAAGGCACAGTGGACGTCTGCGGCTTAGCCTGTACTGCATTCTGATACTTCTCCAGGAAACAACACCTCAATTTTCCTTTGGGAAGCAGCCTCTTTCTGGGACCCTCCGTGCATTTGTTTGCTCAAGGCTGACTCCACCCCCTTCCTAGTACAGAAAGCAGGAGATCCAGCCTGGTCAGTCTGAAGATGCCATCCTTTCTCCTCCCTGCAATGATGAGGGAACTGTCCAAAGGAGCCCACAAGCTCCTTTTTCTCTTTTGTATTCTGGTCCCGGACTTTTCCGTAGGCCCTTGGAAAGCGCCCAGGCTCCGGGCCCTTCGCCCATCAAGCCCAAGAGGGATGGATACACGTGCAGCGCGTAAGAGAGCAGACCTGCTCCGGCCCTCGTGCAGGCGGGAGGGAGCCGGCGGCGGCTTGCACGCATGCGCGTGGGGGGCGGGGCTGCGCCCCAGTCTTGCTCGTCGCCGCTCGGCAGGCGGGGGCGGGGCGAGAGGAAGCGCGCGCCGGAGGCGACGGCCCGGCGAGCGGAGCTCTGCGCTCCCGAGACCCTCCTTCGGGCGCGTTCTCCGGGAGCCCTCCCCCGCCCCACGTCCTCGCAAGGCGGCCCGGCCCGGCGGAATCGGCCCTGGAGGATGGTAGGGGGCCACCCCCCCGCCCTGGAGGGGCCCCGCGGAGACCGCCGCGCGCGGCCTGACGCTCCGCCCTCGTCCAGGGGCCCATGGGCGCGTCCCCGCCGGCGGGCCGCGGACGTGAGGGAGGCGAGCGGCCGGCCCACCGCGCTGAGGGCCGCGCTCGTGCCCGGCGCCGCACAGGCCGCGCGCGCGCGCACTCGCCGCAGCGCCGGCCGCGCCCGCCCCGCCTCCCGGCGCCGGCCCGGGAGTCCCGTCCGCTAGCGGCGGCGGCGGTCCGGGGGACGATGAGCGGCGCGGCGCGGGCGGGCCCGGCCCGGCTCGCCGCGCTGGCGCTGCTGACCTGCAGCCTGTGGCCGGCGCGGGCGGACAACGCGAGCCAGGAGTACTACACGGCGCTCATCAACGTGACGGTGCAGGAGCCCGGCCGCGGCGCCCCGCTCACGTTCCGCATAGACCGCGGGCGCTACGGGCTCGACTCGCCCAAGGCCGAGGTGCGCGGCCAGGTGCTGGCGCCGCTGCCCATCCACGGAGGTGAGTGTGCGGCGGGGCGGGCGCGGCGGCGGGCGGTGGGCCCCGGCCCCGGCGCCGGAGCGGGGGCGGCGGGCGCGGCGCTCCCACCCCGGCTCGGCCGGCCGCCCCGCGGTCGAGGTTTCCAGGGTGTGCAGCCCGGCCTTCTCGCGGCTCCAGAAGCCTTGGTGGGTTTCCCCCGTCTTTTGAAAACGACTCAGGATGTGCCTTCTCGTTTAGGCAGCTTGTTTACAAGAGGGCATTGAACTGCGAGTTTGCAGGGACAGCTCAGACAAAGGAGGTGATGGAAGAGCGCAAAATTAATTCATGGTGGATGAGTGCTTAACCTGTATTTCGGAATCAAGGTTTGTTCCAAAATGACCAATAAACCGGTGGATTGGATTTTGAAAGACGAGGCCCTTTTCTAGCGTAAAAACGTGCGGTTTTCCTTAAGTGGCAGGTGGGGAGGGGGAGTGGAAGAGGAAAATGGGCATCTTCCCTGTTGCTTTTGGATCTTGTTCTGCCCAGTAGTTTTAATGTAATTTGACGCCGGGCGATCGCACATGATGAAGAATCTGATACCCGTTGGAACTAGTAGCCAAGTCTTCAGGTCATGGTGCGGACTGAAGAGGAAATAGGTAAATTTTTCAAGAATTGTCTTTCAAGCCATTTCGTTTATCTTCATGCCCGCCTGTAGACAAGGACTGTGTTTAATTATTGGGCATACACCATTTTTTTGGTCGAAATTAATCCTCATGTTTTCAGGGAAACTTTTCCCACTCTGTGGGGTTTGATATTTTTGTTTTTTGACCTGTGAACTTTTTGGAAAATGTCTGCTACCTTCTTCACCCTGAGAATGCTGAGAAGGTTGGTTTTTGTTTTTTTTTTTTAAAGATGTTATTTATATTAAGGTAACCTAAACTAGACAGCCTAATAAGGGAGTGGCGTTTGCATATATGCTAAAATATTAAAACATCGTGCCCCTTTTGAGTTCTGTATTTTATGGTAAAGTGCTAAGCTGTTTTCTTCTTTCGGTTAGTCTGAGGAAAAAGGAACAGGTAAGACTTTAGCTGTAACCTGTCCCCAAATTAGGCTGCCCTTTAAAAACTTCATTTTGACACCGGTAATCAGGTGTTGAAGGTACATTTCCTGACTCCACTTTGTTAGAAATGGCAGTTAGGGTCCCAGCTTGCCCAGGGAAATGACTTTGGTCTTTGGTTCATTCAGTAAATATTTGCCGGTCTGTTCTGTGCCAGTCACTGTGTTTGGACACATAATGTTGCCAAACTATGGCACTAACAATGACAGCCTATATTCTGGTGCAGAGAATGATGAAGATCACGTGTAAGGGTAGGAAGAGGAAGAGAGAGGCAAGCTGCAGTGTTTTGAAATCTGTGGTTTGTCTTTACTGCTTGGTTCCCCCAAACACCCCAAATCCATAACTATCACTTAGATTCTTGCTTCTCAAGTGTTCATGTGCTAAAAATACTTATTGCTCTCTTGTTACCCCAAACAAAAGCCCCATCATTGGTAAAGTTGTTTTTAGGTGTTTGCATAGAAGGGTATTTATTGGGTGCTAACATGCACTAATGTTTGCATGAAGATTAGCCCTCCTCACCTCTGATCTGAGTTGTGCTGTACATGTGTTGTGTGACACTAGGAAAATAATTTGTCTCCTTAATCTTTAGTTTCCTCTCTAGCCCCTTAGTTTCATCTGTAAAGTGGGGTGATGAAATATTTATCTACTATGGTTGTTGAGAAGTTTAAGTGTTAAGTTACTGTATTCCTAAAAGAGGAGACAAGGCCTCCCTGGTGGCGCAGCGGTTGAGCACTGGGTTGCAGAGCTGCCTGCGGCCTCTGCAGTACCTGTTCGTTCCCCGGCCTGGGTGAGGGTCCCACATGGCGCTTAGACCTCTCCTGCCGCCCGCTGCTCCCCTCAGCAGTGTACTTCGTCAGTCTGTCTGCTCTGCACCCTGCTCTGGCTCTGGTGAATTCTCTCACCCTCCCATGCTTCTGACTGTACCCAGTGCTTATATAAATAAATAAACAAATAAACAAATAAATAAATAAATAAATCTTTTTTAAAAAAAAATAGAGGAGACGATCTAAATCAGTCTCCACATTGGTGGGGTTTTAAAGCAGGCATTTTGAAGTGAACACATTGGGTCAGGGTGTGAAGCCTGAACCTGGAGTCAGTCCTGTGACTAAGCTGTCTTCTCTTCCACTCCATGATTTCCTAGGGGCTAATCTTGCGTATGCACAGAATGAGATTTTTCATGATATGCATGGTGGGATCCTACAGGTGCTTTGGGTCTGGCTTTGTACTAAAGGGTCTGCACATGTAGGTTCTTTCAGTTCAGCAAATAAGAATTGATATTCCACCATGTACCAGGCACCATGCAAAGCACTGGGGAGGAATGAACAAAACAGATAAAAATTTCCTCATCCCCAACCCCCACTCTGCAGGGAGTCAGTCATTTTAAGTCTGTTTACCTGTAAATTGCTCCTAAGCCTATGGTTTTTCATGAAATCCAAGACATTTTTCTGCTTTTGCAGCTGGGACTTTTCTAGGACTTTTTAGGAATGGGTTTTTTTTTTTTAAGACACAAGAATGGTGGTAGAAATATTAAAATTACTCATATTTAAGAAAATGGCTTAAAATTAAAGTAACATTTGAGTATTCACATTATGATAATCTTAATGAACTGAGTTTCAGGATTTTATATTTTTAGAAAAATTACCGCATTCCTTATAACCTTTTGAGTTGAAGAGAATTTTTTTTTTTTTATAGAGGCATGTTTTATTTATTTATTTGTTTGTTTGTTTATACATGCACTGGGTACAGTCAGAAGCGCGGGAGGGTGAGAGAATTCACCAGAGCCAGAGCAGCGAGCAGAGCAGGCAGAAGGACCGAAGTACACTGCTGAGGGGAGCAGCGGGCAGCAGGAGAGGTCTGCGCGCCATGTGGGACCCTCCTCCCGTGGCTGGGGAGCCCCCAGCCACTGGGGATCGAACTGGCGCTGCAGAAGCTGCAGGCAGCTTCGCAACCCAGCGCTCAACCGCTGCGCCACCGGGGAGGCCCTGAAGAGAATTCTTAACATGTTTATTGAGGGCTTACTTGTGTGTTCACACTAAACAAAGTAATATTAGTTCACATGATGAAAAAAAGTTTAGACAGAATTCCTGGCAAAAAGCAGGTGTGGTCAATGGATGTGAAATTAATGAAAATTCATTTTGCAGATAACTGGTAGAAATGAGCATAAAGACAAAAGAACTTTAGTTTTCCTAGAACTTAATCTGGTGACTCATTTTAAATCTAGGACTTGCTTTGTGATATTAGAAACTTATTTTGCCACTGTAAGTCCTGTATCACTTATTGAGCAAAATTTATTTGTCCTGTCTGTACTGTACCTTTAAAGAGCAAACTGGCAATTTTTTTCCTTGAGGTTTATTTTTGCTTTGTTTTTGTTTTGTATTTTAAAAAGTACACTGGAAAGAGTTCCACTTCATAAAATGTTTCATAAGCAAAGTTTGAACTTCGAAAATATATTCTTTGTCATTAATAGAATGGATTCATGAATGGAAATTCTTTAGTGTGGGGTAACAAATTTCATATTTTAACTAATAGAGAATTCATTTTAAGAAATGGATTTTATAGGCGCATGCCTGGTATCTATGCATAGATCACAGTTACTTTCTTATTATTAACTTAATCAAATGATAAACTTAGAACTAGCTAGCATGTATTGTGGGGCAGTCATTGTCAGTGTGCTTTATGCTTGTGCACACTGTTTGAGCCTAGTGTAGGGTTTGGGAGGAAGGCCCTGTGTTGATGAAGTCATTATGTATGCAGGTATGCTGGTGGGAAGAATCTGCTATCAACCACTTTCTGCTTTGCATAGTAATTTTCAGAATTGAATGTTATAGCCTTAGAGAACAATTGTTAGAGAACAGTTTTAACCAAATGATAGACTATTTTTCCCATCATAATGACTGGGGATGCAGTAACATTAAAAAGAAATCTTTTTTATGTATTAAAATAGTGATTCTGTTTGAATGAATTCATTAAACTTGAACTTGCTTTTAAAATTCTGATAAAGAATGAAGAAGATTGATGTGAAAACAAGGCCATGACTGAAGGGATCATGTAACGCTAGAATTTATAATGACAGGGTCAGGGACTACTAGATACAGTTAGAGGGCCTCCCCGGTGGTGCAGCGGTTGAACGCTGGGTTGCGAAGCTGCCCGCGGCCTCTGCAGCGCCGGTTCGATCCCCGGCTGCTCCCCGGCCACCGAAGGAGGGTCCCACATGGCGCGCAGACCTCTCCTGTTGCCTGCTGCTCCCCTCAGCAGTGTACTTCGGTCCTTCTGCCTGCTCTGCTCCTCGCTCTGGCTCTGGTGAATTCTCTACCCCTCCCGCGCTTCTGACTGTACCCAGTGCATGTATAAACAAAAACAAACAAATAAACAAACAAATAAATAAAACATGCCTCTATTAAAATAAATAAAAATAATAAAAAATTAAAATAAAATAAAAATAAAAATAAAAAATAGATACAGTTAGAGATTTCAGATAACTCAGAGAAAATAGTAGGTATATTCCTGGGACCAGAGGCTCTGAAAGGAAACGAATACAAAAGGAGCTGGAGATTCTAAAAACCAAATTTTGACATATATTAAATAAGCAAGCAGACGATAAAGAAGGTACACACAATATACTTATATTAAACTTCAAAGTTTATTATTTTTTAAAGATTATGTATAAAGAACTGGGGTACAGGCCAGAGGTGCCGGGGAGGTGGGGTGTGTGTGAGAGGATTCACTTGGGAGAGTGGGGAGCAGAATAGACAGAACCACTGAAATACACTGCTGAGGGGAGCAGTGGGCGAGGCAGGAGAGGTCTGCTCACCAAGTGGGAAGCTCCCTGGCTGGCCGGGATTGAACTAGAACTTCTGCTACAGTGACTGGTGATGGCTTGATAGCACTGTCTTTAACCCCTGCGCCACCAGGGAGGCCCTAAACT